CCCGCTCCCCCCACAAGGAGGATGTGCAAGCAGGCGGAAGGAAGGAGGAACAGGGGAGATATGCGGGGCCAAGCGGACACACGCCTGAAAAACACGACTGTCGGCATGCTTCGCAAGAGTTGCTGCTGTGAGATGGGCTGGTGGGGATACGCGAAACGTAAAGAATTGGAGATGCAACTCGACGGCATCGACGCTCAGCGGCGACAGCCAGGTGGACGACAACAAGGAGGACGCAAGTTCAGGTGGAACTGAGCCTTCACAGCGGACACCGACGAGGACGACGGGAACGAGGACGAACCGGAGGACGGAGAAGACAGTGGCGGAGACGAGGACGGAGAAGAGATGGAGGCTTTGTCCGCCGAAGTGGAGGAGCTCGAGCAGGCCATGGCCATCGTGGACGTCAACGACCTCAGCGAAGAGGAGGTGCAGGTGTTCGCGATTGAGGCTCAACGGCTTGGCGGCGCTGTCGCGGCCAAAGGCCGCGGACGCGGTAAGGGCAGCTCAGGCTCAACGGGCTCAAATTATACTCGGCAGCGCCAGTTCATGAAGGACGGCAAGACGAATCGTGGATTTCGGCAGGGCAAAACATACGTCGACTTCGACGGGGAGATCAGCTTCGGCTCGAAGGATCTCCAGGACAAGCTGGGGGCCTTCCAGAAAGTAAGCACATGTGGAGCGTGCGGCGAGGCTGGACATTGGGCTGGAGACCCGGAGTGCAGCGAGACCAAGAAGGCCACCACCGGGGGCAAGGCTCGAGGACGAGGCAAAGGTGGCGGACGCGCTGGAGGTTTTCTGGCACGCACCGGCCTGGCAGCGGCTATGCTGGCGACAGGAGTCACCAGGCCCACCGAGGTCTACATGATCGAGCCGACGCACAACCACATCGACGAGGCGATCAACCCGATCACTCAGGTCAACGACGAGATGATCGACACGATGGCAGCAGACCAGGTGGTACCTCCTGGCTACATCGTCCTAGACACGGCAGCCTTGGCACCATGCGGCGGAGATCGAGCGATCGACAGCCATCTTGAGAAGTTCGAGCTGGCGGACATCCAGATGCCGACTCAGACCGTCTTCGAAGGTATCAACACTTCGGTCCCCATCAAGGCCGAGAGTACTGAAGCAGTACCAAGCGGCATCCAAGGACGGGGATGCACGCTCAACTTCGAGAGGCTACCAGACTCAGATGCTCCTATGCTCATGAGCTTGGACCAGATGGACGCCCTAGATGCAGTCATCAAGGTCAAGAGCAACCAGGTGATATTCAAGAAGATATCCGAGCAGCCCGTGAAGATCACGCGCTCGCGGAAGAACCACCCGATGATCAACGTCGCCGACTTTCCAAAGGGGCCGACGCAGCTCGAGGCACCGGCGATCAGCACAAAGGCGCTGGATGTGTGGACGGCCGAGAAGGAGGACGAGTCGCAGTATACGACGGCGGCCATCGAGAAGATCACGACCAAGGTGAACGACACTGGTATCATGACCAAGTCCCGGAAGAAGCAGGTGGGCGGCTGGATCGCGGACAACGTATTGGAACAGCGGGCGACCTGGAACGCACTACGCAAATATCAACATCGACTGTTTGTTCCTGGGACGGTAGTGGGGGAGATATACGGCGGAGCGCAACGCCACGAAGCTCGCAGGCAACTGTGGACTCAAGACTGGCCAGTGCAAGGACTTACGCACCACAGGCGACGACTTGCTACTGCCAAGCGTTCAAGCAGCTACGATGCGGGAGATCGAGAATGAGGATCCGTACCTCACGATCGCGCCATTTCCGCGTGACGGCCTCTCGCCCATCAACAATTTCTATTCGGAGAAGGAGCGGCGCAGGCGCCGCGCGAAGGCACTTGCGCATGTACGATTCGCTTTACATATCGTCAAGCATCGACTGGCACATGGAAGACATGTTTTGCTGGAGAACCCTTTGTGTTCACAGGTGTGGAACATCATCAAGGACGAGCTCCCACTGGAGCTGATCTGGGTTCGATGTGACCAATGCGTCTTCGACCTACGAGATGATCGTGGAGAGTTGCTTCAGAAGCCAACGACGTTTGTGACGACAGCAGTGGCATTGGCATATGCACTGGAAGTTCGGTGTACAGGAGATCACGGACATGGTGAAGTTCAAGGCCGAGGCGGCAAGTCCAGTGATTTTGTAGTCTGGGCCCCGGACATGGCAGAAAGGATCCTCGAGGGCACGAGGCAACAAAACGAGTTGGAGACGATTCTGGGTGGAAAGATCATCCTGGGAGTTCCCGACGCCACTGACGCATGCCCCGCTACAGGCTTCACGTCAAGCTCAGGCCTCATCATGGGCTCAGACGCGGAGACCTATCAACAATGGCAGCCGGTACCAGCAGCACTCAAGGCGGCGATCAAGAAGCTGCACGTGGCACTTGGCAAAGACTTGGCACGACATATTCAAGCAGGTGGTAGATCACCGGCGGCGGCTTCAGCGGCAAAGCTATTCAAGTGTGAGCTGTGCGACTCTCAGCAGCGACCGCCAGCGCATCCCATCGCAAGTCTACCGAAGTGGACCAAGTTCAACCAATGCCTTGGCATGGACATCGCCTACGTGCCTGACCTGAACGGCAACATGCACGCCTATCTGCCGATGCTGGACCTGGCCACCGACTACACCGCCATACAATGGATGATCAGCGGTGGCAGCCGCAAGCCGAGCCCCACCCCAAGCCACGCCAAGACGGCTTTCGTGGAGGGCTGGCAGCGGACACTATTGACCCCGCAGCGGTTTCAGATTGACCAAGATGCGGCCTTTCGTTTGGAGTTCGATGCTCTTTGCGAAGATCTCGGAGTTCCATGCATTCCAGTTGTCCCAGAAGAGCACCATCAACATGGAAAGGCGGAGCGGAAGATTCGGTTCTTCAAGGAGATGGCCACCGAGGTTTTTCGCGAGCTCGAGGTGAAGGATGACGAGAGCGCCAAGGTCGCCAGATACCAGATTGCTCAGACCATGGACCGCCTATCGAACAACAAAGGCTTTCCCCCGGCGCAGTGGGTCCTTGGAGAGAACCCATCACTACCGGTATCTCTTGGAGATATCAATACTGATCCTGTTTTTGCAGGTCAAATTGCACATGGATCTCTCATGTGGCATCGCCTACGGCTTCAAGAAGCATGTGAGGTCGCTTTTCACCAAGCGGCTAACAGCTCAGCTCTACGACGAGCGGTGCTATCAAAGACGCGACCTCAGCCTGGACCTTTCGAGCGCGGCGAATGGGTTCACCACTGGCGCACAGGTGGAGGAAAGCGCGATCTACATCGTAAATGGGAAGGACCAGCACGTGTGATTGGGAGGGGCCAGTTCGGCGACTGGCTTATCCACAACGGCATGCCTATTCTGGCTGGACCTAATATCCTCCGGAGGTCGACGCTCAATGAGATCTAGGATCGCACTCCTGAAGACCAGCGTGAATGGCAAGGAGTTCCACATGGGCAGCGCGGCTTCGTTGATTCGCGCAATACCACGTTCACTGAACCACGACAGCCTCTACAACCTGGGATGCAACCACGACCGCCACCTGATCAGCCACCAGATCCTGTGCCACCTCCAGCGCCGCAGGGACAAGACATGGAGGGAGCTCAAGATCGCGATGCTGATCCCGAAGGCCAACCTCCTGCACAGCGAAGGCGAGTTGAAGCAGAGTGGCCAGAAGGTTCGTGGAATATCCCAGAGTCGTGGGCCATGCTAATTGGCTCACAGCCTCGTGGACCCTACGACGCCACCCTTGCAACCAGGACTGTGCGATGCACGACAACACCACCGCATGAGGAAGATGTTATACCCCGAGATCGGCTACTGCGACGACGGACCTTTGACTACAACACCAAGGTGATGATGGAGAGCCTGGCGCGCAACGGCCTGGAGGTGCCCTTCGACGTTCCTCTGGCGCGAGATATGGACGTGACCGACGTCGTGGTAGAATACACTTATCGGACAGCGCAGGACCCTTCGAAGGTCAAGCCCCTGGGGATGTTCCTGGGGGCGCTAAACCTCAAGGCCCTCCTCAGTCCTATGGGCCAGACAACCCGGCTCCAGCGCGGACGGCTACTCCGGGGGCGAGCAGCGCACCGCCTACCACCTCGGCGGACCCTGATGCAGACAGCGCCCGCCAGCGACAGCGAGCACGACAGCACGCCAACCGCGATCAAGGCGAGAGGCGGAGGCTTAAGAGGAAGACACCGGCATCTCACACCATCTACCAGAGCCGATCACACATCGGCCTCAACACACTGACGACAACAAACGACAAGAGGGCACGCACCGCATACTCGACCAACCAAGTGATGTGCGAGTCGTTCGCAGCTGAACGAGCCGATCGCGCTACCAAAGGCGAGATGGACATCAAGGAGGTGTTGAGATGCAACGATCAGTACAGCAGGGAGCGCGCCGAGAAGTGCCTCAACGCGCTCATCAATGAGTGGAGTACCTGGACCAAGTACGACGCAGTTACGGCCATCGCTCCTACGATGGCCAAGAATATTGACAAGTCGTTGCAGATCGAGAGCCGCGCAGTTTGGACAAACGAAAGCATCGACAACGATGCTAACTTCCAGCCCAAGTGTCGCATCGCGGGCAAAAGCTTCCAGGGGAAGTACGATGAGAAGCTGCGACGAGACTCACCGACATGCTCGCCTTTCATGCAGAACCTCTTGTGTAGCACTGCGGCGTGCAAGCGGCTCTCGTGCTTCGCCGGGGACGCCGCCGGAGCTTTCCTGCAGGGCGTCAAGATCGAGAGGGAGCTGTACTTCAATATGCCCAAGAATATGCGGGGGATGGCCACTCCCGGACTGGAAGAAAAGAGCTTGCTCAAGCTCAACAAGAGCATCTATGACACCAACGGCGCGGCGAGGGCTTGGTACAAGCGGATTGTCCAGATCCTGAAGCAGGTCGGTTTCGAGCAGCTGCAGTTCGAGACTGCAAGCTTATGCACAATGGGGAGCTGGTGGGACTCTTACGTGGACGACAGTCGACACGCTCATGGCTTTCGACATGGAGAAGAACCGCGAGTTCTGCGAGCAGATCATCAACCAGCTGAAGGAGCAGGTCGAGTTCGGTGACTGGCACGATCTCCAAGGCTCACCCGAAGGCGCTACCTTTACAGGCCGACGCCTCAAGCAGGATAAGGATTATGTCATCACGATCGACATGGACAACTACATCGACGGGATGACCGATTACCGCATGCCCCGCGAGAGGGCCAAGCAGGACAAGGAGCTACTCACAGCAGCCGAGCATCGAGCACTACGTGGCATGAACGGACAGGTTCAGTGGGTAGTGAGGCTGCTGCTCCACAAGTATAGTTTCGAGGCATCAAGGCTGGCAGGCCAGATGACGAAGCCGACGGTGCAGGACATGAAGGACATGAGCAGTCTTGTACGCTCTACCCGGCGCGAGGGGGAGATGCAGATGATATTTCGTGGTGGTTTTGATTTCGAGAAATCGGTCGTCATTGCATCGCATGACGCGTCATTCGACAACATGCCGAACCACAAGAGCCAGCGCAGGTTTTATATCATGGTGGGAGATGGTGCTATGATGGACGACAACAACAAACTCTACCCATGCATGCTACTGGCCTGGTCAAGTGGACGGATTGGTCGTGCAGTACCCAGTACCCTTTCGGCGGAGGCCTACAATTGTTCCGAAGCTCAAGACGTCACAGTCTGGACACGCGCCGTATGTGCCGACATCTTTTCAGCCAATAAGTTGGGCCATGAGTACCGTCAGGCAGCAGAAGAGTGGAAGGGTGTTTTGGTCGCAGATTGTCGTTCTCTGTGGGATTGTGTGGTCAAGGAGCGTGTTCACCTATCAGATCGGAGGCTTTCCCTGGAAGCAGCTATCATCAGACAGGAGTGCCAGCATGGAGGCATCAAATGGGTACGATCTGAGCAGCAGCTGGCCGACGGCCTTACCAAGAAGATGGGAACTCCATACCAAGATCGAGTTTTTCACGAGAACCTATGGACTTTCGGACCAGATCCCCGAGCGCCCTCACTCAGGAAGCGGAAGCTGACCGACCCCTGGGACGAGATTCAGCGTGCTCAGCGAGTCGAGTTGCAGGAGGACGCCGATTACCTGAATGCAAACTATGCCAAGCCCAAGGACTACAGTGCAGATGACGATATATCGAGGATCGATGTGCACGAGATGGTTTACCAGGCGGAAGTGAGCACATCTATGACGACCAGGACTTCTCGATTCATGCGTGCCGCTCTGTTTTCCAGCATTTTGGCAAGCAGTTTTTCCTCAGGTACAACATTGCCACAGGTGGCAGCAGCTGCCGCAGCAGTAGCAACAACTGAACCGATGATCGGCCAGCAGGTTTCAACTTATGTTTTGGCCGAGCCGTTTGATCAGTGGTCTCAGTTTTTGCTGTCCCCAGCTGGGACATTTGCAGCAGGAGTTTCATTCGGTGCAGTTTTTATGGCTTTGATCTGTGTACTTCTGTTCATTGCCTCTCAGAAGTTCAAGCCGGAGTCGGTGTCGACAACGGTTGCAGTTTCACACTCAGCCAGCTCCAAGGAGATCGTTGCAACACCACCGAGCAACGGACTCAAACTGTCACCGAGCAGTGCTGCACGGAAGATGGACGATCTAGGAATGACTCACAGGCCTTACACACCGGACGTACAGAAGAAACTCGAGGCTATGCCGGTGTACGCGTTGCAAGGCATTTTGCGTGAGATGAACCTTCCCGTGTCGGGGCTCAAAGCAGACCTGGTTCGGAGGATCCTTCTAGAAAGTTGATGATCGTTCAAACTCGTTTTGTTTCGTTTCATGTTTGATGTGCAGACGGCGGCGCACAATCCCTTTTACAGTGAGAGGTTACTCATGCAGGCTGCTGTTCGGCTTGTTGAGTCGAGCCTTTTTGTGATTTTGCAGAGCACAACCTTCTAGGCAGAAGATTATTCATGCAAGCTGCTGATCTCCAGTTTCTGAACCTGCAAAGTTTATATTATGTGTGAAGATGAGAGTTTTGGGGACAGCCCGAAACGCAGTAGATAAGCAGCTCAGGAGTTGGTTGCCCTTTTCGAGGGCTCGAGGAGTTTTAAGACACATAACATAACAAGTTATGTTTCCGTGGCCGTTTGCATCTCAAACGATATCAGGGGATCCCCTTTTTGAGCCAGACAACGATAACAAGTTATCAGACGTGTTCCAGTCCGAGACTGGGGTTTCCCTGATTTCATCAGCTGTGTGTGTGGTGCTGGACGCACCGTTTCATATTCGATCGACCGAACGGATCTTGCAGCTCGTGTGGACATTATCATTGACACTTGGGGCCCTGGGGGGTCCTCTTGGAGAGGGGGGCTCGAAATTTCATGTGGATTTCCCCATCTTGGGCTCCTCTTGGACCCCTTTGGGGGCCCGATTCTGCCGTCTGGGGCGCTTCTTGGACCGTCTTGGGGCCCTCTTGGGCCGTCTTGGGGCCCTCGGGCCCCTGGGGCGCCTCTTGGGTCGTCTTGGGGCGGTCTTGGGGGTCTCTGAGGTCGTCAGGGACGGCACGACAGCGAAAACAATCGATATGCTAAAAATGTACGTTTTACCGTAGGAGTGGGGCTATTTGTCCCACTTGGGGCTTTCTTGGTTGGCCTCTTGGGGACCTTTTGAGGTGTCTTGGGGACTTCTTAAGCCGTCTAGAGGCCATCCTGGGCGTTTTGGAGCGGCCTGTGGGCGTCCCGGGCCCCTCTTGGAGCGTCTTCGGGTTCTCTTGACGCTTTCTGGTGGCGTTTTGGAGGCCTCTGGGGGTCTGGGTCGCCGAAACCCTGTAAAAGCACAAAGAAAATGACACTGTGCACCCCCATCTGTGGTAGAGGCCGCGGCCCAGGGGGCCCGGGCCCCAGTGCGCCGTTATATGTATACACATACAGACGTATGGCTTTTCGGACGTTTGCGAGTAGGCACTTTGCGAGTAGTGGAACGCGCTCGGCGAATCACCACCGTTGCACATTGCAGGCTGCGCCATCTTCACGCACCCAAGCGCCACACGCAACAATGCCACCGGCGTGGCTGCCCTGATCCCACCAGGCTTCCCGGCTCAGGCGGTTTAGCGCGGTTCGTCTTCCAACCCCCGTCTTCCCCTTCGGAGAGATTCAGCGAGACAGCTTGTGGCGTTCCCGCTGAGAACTTGACCCCTCCCCCTGCCCCCTCCCTCCCTGAGGTCAGGACTGGGATGTAGGGGGAGGCCGACCCATGCGAGGTCCAAGATGGCCCGAGATGGCCCCAGGATGGCCTCCCATAGCACAAGATGGCCTCCAAGATGTGCGCAGTATTGCCAAGATGGCCCTGGATGATCTCCTACATGCCTCCAAGAAGCCCCATGACCGCCCCCAGGCGGCTCCGAACGGCAACGGAGCCTGTCAAGGAGACACCCGAGAAGCCAGTAACCTTTCAAACCAATCAATTGGCTAATACATGATGCCTGCCTTCTCGCCTTGTCGTTTCCGATGGGCGTCTGAAGCCTCAGGATGGCTGCAAGATCGCAAGCGAGAGCTCCAAGAGGGCCCCAGAATGGCTCCAAGACGGCGCAAAGGCCCCCAAGAGCACTCCAAGACCGACAAGGGCAAGGCGAATTATCGCCTAGTCCCGCTCCCACTGTATTCCTCTGTCCGTCTCCTCCTCTCCCTCGTCGTCGCCGTCCGTCTCCCCGCACCCGTCATGCTTGCTCAACCTTGTTCTCCCTGTCCACTATCGAGAACCATTTAACGCACATCATGCTCAAGGACTGGACTGGACACTCCAAGTTCGGGACTGATTTGGGCGATGTGCTGGACCGATGTTGGGGCGAGTAGGTGACCTCTTGAAGCCCGCCCGTGGCCGCTCGTGGCCAAATCCGAGACAGCCCCAGGGAAGTGTTCGTCCAGGGACGCAAGTTTGCGAGAGAAGAAAGAACGCGACGTCGGAGGTCTGGGAACGAGCACGGTGCTCAACAGCCAAAAGTCACCCCAGAGCGACAACGATAACCGTTGGTGTTGGGCGCCTCCCGCCGCAAAAACGGACCACGCCCGCATAGAGAAACCGACCGTGAGCCCTGCGCAGCACGAACCGGAAGTGTTGCCGGCCATCACCCCTGACTAGAGGTCTCCTAGATGGTGTCCGAACGGAAGGGGTCGGAGGAGCGCGAGGCCTCGCCGATGCATCGGCGACGTCGGCGTGGAGAACATCGGGGTCCTCATCGCGCCGCATCGGCGATGCATCGGCGACGCGGCGCGATCCTCCGAGCCCATCTACTCTTAGGTCGGGTATGTTCCCCTACAGGCGGATTTTGGAAGAAACATCAAAAATAGTCAACAAAGACTCAAACATAGCCGAAAATAGTCCAAAAATCGTGCCGAAACTACTTGTTTGCTATTTTTGAATGTTCCTCCTGTAGAGGGACACGCCCGCCTTGAAATTTCGGCACTCCTGAACCCGCGTCCCAGGATTGGTGCAGGGCGGGCTCCTGCCGTGGCGACCTGCACACTGGCGTTTCTCACGCGGCGGGGATCGTCCAGCCTGGAGCGATCGCGGCATCCCCATGGCGCCGATCCCTCGATGCCAGCCGAGGCCGGGCCGCCACCAGCGCTCCACCCGGAACGCCCGCGCCGGGGTCGCCGCAGCGCCTGCACGGCGGGAGACTGCCGTGCAAGCGCTGCCTGGCCCTGCTGGCGGGAGGTACAGGCAGACCGATCCTGGGTCCGGGGGGCGGCCGGGCGGGGTGGACGGCCGCGGCCGGAGCCGCGGGCGGAGCCGCGGGAGGAGGAGGTGGAGGTGGAGGAGGCGGAGAGCTCGCAGGCGGAGCCGCGAGGGGGGGGGCCTCTTCTTCATCTCCGCGTCTGGCTGGCAGTCCTCGCCAGATCGCGGCACGGAGGGGAGGGGAGGGGGGGCTCGAGCTATGCTGCTCCCATCGTACTGAAGACTCACATCCCAAAAATAATTCCGAGCACCCAGGAAAGCATCAAAACATGTTCGAACGGGTAGCGCCTC